GGAGTAGAGAGAGAGGGGAGACAGAGGGAGAGGAGAGAGAGAGGGGAGACAGGAGGAGAGGAGAGAGAGGGGGAGACAGGGGGAGAGGAGAGAGAGAGGGGAGACAGGAGGAGACGAGAGAGAGGGGGAGACAGGGGGAGAGGAGTAGAGAGCAACATGGGAGAAGAAGGGAATTGAAAGACGGAGAAAGGGAGAGGTGTGAGTCAGGGTTTGTGAGTGTCGGTGGGTAACGGTGTGTATTCTGTGTGCTCAATCCCTGCCCGGAGACAGGCTCACTCCCAGCTCTGTCTGGGGGTGTCCATGGCAGATTAATCCTATTACCACACATCCCCACGGGTAGAACTCACTCGTCTGCGTAACACTGAGCCCGTAGACACACACCTGCATCACAGGGCTGGGAAAGGCATCAGACAGTGTTACTGACACTACTGACCTCCGCACAGCACTGAGCGCTAGCTCATCCATGACCGGGGAGAACAATCCCGTTTTTTCCCACATTTGTAAGTAAGAAGCCTCGGCTTCTATTATTGACCAGCTGCCCAGAGGCATTTAAAAAAAACTGTTGTTTTGCAGCAGCGGGTCGTTAGTGCCCTGATGACTGAAGGAGGGTGTGCTCTCACGGCCCTGCAGGCAGGGGAGAGGGGAGAGGGGCCTGCTGGGAAGACAGCAGCAGAGCATCTCGCTGTCTCTGTGAGCAGCATGGGAGCTCAGCGAGGAGAGCTTGTTTGTGGGTACAGAGCGACTGTCGGCAGGGGTCTGTGCTTTTTACTGTGGTATTTTGTTTATGGCGGTCTCAGTACATTTCACTCTAATGTGCCACCCACCTCTCCGCGCTGGGCTGTAATGTTGCCGTAATTTACTGTGGTAAATGTCCATTAGAGTGGGATTGGTCCTGCTTTTTCCAGCTCCATGCGATCAATCGGCAGATACATCTGCACAAAGCTCTCTTGCTGACAAAACAGGAAGGCTGAGGGGGACCTGTGAGCACTTGCTTGATCTCTCACCAGGTGACAAAGGCTGGTTAATCGACAGAGTCTCTCAGCTGTTCTTTCATCTCCCAGTGTCAGTCTCCTCGCAACACAGCCACTCTGACAGCCCCCCGCCAGACACGCCCCCCGGACAGCGCGACAATCGTTTCCGCGGCGATGTGGTGACCTCGCTGACCCTCTCACAGTGACACCGGACATGGAAGTCTCCACTGTCTTACTGTGTTGTGTTCTCTCGGTGGCAACTGGCTCATTCTCCAACACACTGACACAGATGCTCATGCTGATACAATCACATTCACACCAACACACACTCAAACATACACTATCACACAATAACACTCTCAAACACTCATACATTAACACAGACCCAGACACACTCACACATGAACACACTCAAGACACACACTAACACATACTCAGACATGCTCACACTATCACACACTAACACTCTCAAACACTAATACTCACATTCATACACACACTCAAACACACCCAGACATTCTCCCAGACATGCTCGCACTGGCACAAACTCACACTGAGACACGCTCACACAAGTACACACTGAGACACACTCACACATGAAAACACTCAGACACGCTCACTCTAGCACACACTAACACACACTGAGACACACTCACTCTAGCACACACTAACACAAACTGAGACATGCTCACACTAGCACACACTAACACACACTGAGACACACTCACACTGGCACACACTAACACTGAGACACACTCACTCTAGCACACACTAACACAAACTGAGACACACTCACACTAGCACATGCTAACACACACTGAGACACGTTTACACCAGCACACACTGAGACATGCTCACACTAGCACACACTAACACACGCTGAGACACACTCACACTAGCAGACACACACACTCAGACACGGCTGTGCACTAACAGCACTAACGGCCCGAGCAGAGAGACAGTGATGGAGAGGAGGGAGGAGGAGGAGGTGGGGATGGATACGGCCCCCGCGGGGGGGGGGGGTGATGGGGGTCTCTGCACGCTGTAAGTGCACAGAAATCCAGGAGCCTCGGCAACAGAGCCCTGCTGCAGCTGGCTGGGCAGGAGCAGAGGGGAGACGCTGCTCCCACACTGGTGTCGGACGAGGGAGCTGGTGCTGTAGAGAAGGCAGAGAGACCCTCCCTCCCTCCCTGTCCGCCCGCTTGATCTCCACACCCTCTCCCTGTCTCATGTGCGTCTTAGCTTGTTCTCTCCCTCCCTTCTGCTCTGAGCGGCACCCTTCTCTCCCTCTCCCTGCTGCGCTGCTGCTCCAGGCTATCCCCCTTTCCTCAAGCGCGGAGACAGAGAGAGCGGGGGAAGGATCCGCCCGCAGACTGGAGAGAGAGGAGCGCTCTGGTCCGTGGGATACAAGCCGGAAAGCAGGAGCCACACAGAGAGAGGGAGACGAGTGCAGCAGCTCTGGCAGACTGGACGTTATTTCCTTGGCTGGGGGAGAGGAGGGCTGGTGTGTGTGTGTGAGTGTGAGCGTGTGTGTGCGCGCGCACTCACAGCGGAGAGGTGCTGCTGTTGCTGGGAGGGAGAGAGGGTGAGCTGCCAGCCCCGTCCCGGGCTCAAACACATTCTATTGACTTGCTAATTGCCTGACACTCTCCGGGAGGATGGGAGCTGGGTGAGTGGGTGTCGCGTTAGGCTTCCTCTCCGTGTTCTCTGGGGATGGGCCGTTCCAATCTCTCTTCCTCCTCCTCCTCCTCCTCCTCTCTCTCCTCCGTTTCACCGCTCTCGCGCGCTCTCTCTCTCTCTCTCTCCGCATCCTTCGCTGGGAGAGAGGAAAAGAGAGGGAGGCTCCGTATCGCACCGTGAATGATCCATTGATCGCTGATCCCCGCCGCCACGCTGTGCCCTGCGTGTGACCACGAGGAAATGAAAGGCTCTCCCGCGGCTTTTTCCGGCTGAATTCCGAGGGGTGTCCGTCTCCGTGGCTCCGGAGGATTTCTCCCCTCGATCGCCGCGCGTCTGTGTGGATTACAGCTCGGAGGCGGATGGGAGAGCACAAAGACGGAGCAGAAACAGAGGGAGAGAGGCTGGAAAAATTCAGGGCTGGGACCAAGAAATAGACAACAAAAAGCAGAAAGCGCTCTCCGCTGCTGACGGAGCCCACAGAAGCACCTTCCACCCCAGGGGAAGGGCGGACAGGAGAAGGCAGATGGGGATTTATCAATAGAATCAGGGACAGACCCCTGCCATGCCCGAGCGCTGACCATGGCTCCATCCCAGCTCCTGGGAACCAGCGCCGATCCAGCCGAGACCTGGAGGGGGGTTAACCGCTGTGGGAGAGGGATCTCTGGGACGCAGCGCGCGCCGCGAGAGGGAGCGTGACGGAGGATGCAAGGAAGGCAGAACCAGGCCCGGGAGGAGGACAGCGCCCGGCCCGTTTGAAGCCCACCGTCGATCCCACAGAGCGCGAGGGGCTGACGCTGGTTCCCTGTCTCGGGATTCTTCCGAGTGCTCATCTATTTCATTTATTTGTTTGCGCGTGTCCCTGTGAAGGGGGGTGGCTGCGTCCCCCGTCTGAGCACAAAATGTAAACCAGCTCTTTCTGGAGGTTCGCTTGTGTCGCGGTGACCTCTGACCTCGCGGAGGCACAGCAAGCCTCGCTCCAATTGGCGGGGTCGTCCACGCCGCCCAGGGTAGCTGTCTATGATCCACCCGCTCGAACCCGGGGCCTAGCCGTCTATGGGCTGTCCGCTGAAGACTGACCCCATGAGCCGAGCCGCCACGCTGCAGCGACGCACCACCTACCTCATCTCCCTCACCCTCGTCAAGGTCGAGGCGGTGGGCGAGGATGGCGCCCCGGCCGCGGTGCCTGCGCCGGAGGGCCGCAGCCCAGCAGGGGGAGCTCCGGAGACGGAACGGAAGCCCCCCCACGCCCAGCCGGAGGAAGAGGAGGAGGAGACGGAGATCGAGGAGGACGACGCACTGAAAGGGAGAGGAGACCGGACTCCCTCCGGGTCTGGAGGCTCCAAGGCCACAGAGCGAGCACGCCCCAGGGTGTGGGGGCCCAAAGAGAGGCCCCCCCTCGTCCCTGCCAAGGAAGGGAAGAGGGAGACCCCAGAGGGGGACAGGGGGACAGGAGCCAGGCAGGAGGAGATCCCGGGACCTGGAGAGGAGACCCCCGAGGAGCCCGAGCCCCCAGGAGGGGCAGCGAAGGAACTGAAGCCCTGGAAGTCTGTGGACGTGGTGGAGGGGCCACGCACGCCCTCCAAGTGCCAGATCCCCGTGCGGGTGGGGCAGCGGCCGGCGGCGCTGCTCAAGGCCCAGAGCAGCGCCGGCCGCAGGGACGCCAGAGACAGCGCGGCGCCCGCGGCCAAGAGCCTGGACCGGAAGGAAAAGGCCGCCAAGGCCTCTGCCGCCGTGACGCCCGGGTCCACCCGGCTGTCGTGGCCGGAGAACGAGGGGAAGCCCAAACCGCGTGGCAGCGGAGGGGCGGCGGCGGCGGCGGCAGGGGCGCGGGGCAGCCCCCGGGCAGAGAAACTGAAGACAGGGTCCGCCTCGCTGCCCGCCCCCATCAGCCTGGTCCCCAAGCCGCCCCGCAAGGGCAAGAGCCGCACGCTGGACAACAGCGACCTGCACTCGCTGTCGCAGGACCTCCGCAGGGGCAAGGAGGGCGCCCACCTTCCGCTGCCCCTCCCCGGGCCCCCCACCTCCACCGCCGGGCCCCCCTCCCAGCGCACCTCCGCCCGCGACCGGAAGATGCTCAAGTTCATCAGCGGGATTTTCACCAAGAGCACCCCGGCTCCCGCTAGCAGCCCCGGACCCCCCCTCTACGGCTCGGTGCAGAGAGAGTCCAGCGAGGAGGAAGGTAAGACAGCTGCCCCCCCCCAGAAAAATCCTTCCCACCAGCAACCCACCCCAGCTCCGGGCTCCTGGCTCTCGTCAGCCTTCCCTGCATGCAACATTCACCCCCGGTGCTACAGACAAGCTCCAGTGGCAGGGCTTAGCTGATCTCTGAAAACACTCATGTGAAAGGTGAAGGAGAAGAACTTCAGTGTCTCCTTTTCCTCCACAGCAAGCGATTCTAAGCTTAAATTTGAAAGTATCACAAAATCCCATCTAGCGCTGGACTGAAATCCGCTTTTAACAAGTTAAAATCCGGTCAGGGCTTGTGGTTAGCTCACTAAACTGCGATCAGTTGACAGGGCTCTGTTATTTTCTATTCCCTTGAAAATCTGGAAGACCCCTCGATCGAGGGGTCTTTTCGAAGCCTGAAAAGATACGATCAATGCGTCCTCCAAACTCAGATCCTAAAAGTCCTGGCGGGTGTCGCTGCTCTTCTCTGCTGTCCTTCACGCTGCCGGGTCTCCTCAGCCAAGTGGAGACCCGGGTCGTAGTCTGGTCCTGTCTAGTCCAGAGGCCGCTGTCTCTGCAGGCGTGTCAGGACAGCTGGGAAAAACTGCCTTACTGGTCAATTAAGACGATAATGAGCTAATTTAGGTCATTATGAACAGAAAGAGCACCACACCAGCCCTGGACTGGACACCTGTGAACTAGTTCTTTGTACCATTTTAGTATAATCTTCAGCATAACCTCTGTTTATTGGTAAGCAATATTAACAAACTGCAGGAAAACAGTTTTTCAGGTTAATGAAGCAGCGTACACGTTTGTGCAGCCGTTTCGAGACGGATGTCCTCTTCTAGGTTTTGAAGCTGCAGGTTGTGATGAGTTTCCTGTGGAAAGGGCTTTGATCTTCCTTCCTGTGACTTATAGCAGCATATCTGCTGTTGTGGGGCCCCTGTGTACAACGCTGCCCCCTGCTGTCTGGCGGGTGCGATAAGCTGTTTGGGGTCTCACCATGCTTTTCAGGGGGCACCCAGCTTTCCTGCCAGTGTAGGGCAATTAGGCTTCCAGGCAACCCTTAAAGGTCTTCAATAACAGGATTAATTAAGCAATTAAGAATTGATCAAGCAATTAAAGTGCAGAAAGACAGAAGGTGTCCTGGGAAGAAAACAGTTCTAGTGGTTAAGGAAGTTGATTGCAGAACTCCTGACCCGTCTGGGTGACTGAACAGCCCTTGTGCTCTGGGCCAGTTTCCAGCCACAGTCGATACTGGAGTTTGCTTTCCTAGTCGCTGTGATTTGCTTCTGATGTGCATCACAACAACACATTGTGCTGAGCGCTCAATTTAGATTTTGCAACTTTCCAATTTTTTTGTTACTTTGCTGCAGCACAAGAAATGCCACATTGTGGCTGTAAAGAAGCGGGGTGCCCTTATGTCATGTGTTAGAGAAGTGAAGGGGCTGGGGCTCGATCCGGACGACTGTGGTTTCTGAGACAGTGCCCGTACCTGCTGTGTGCGGCTGCCTCCTGCCCCTGCCTTTAACTCACACCTCCCGGGGGCAACAGCAGCTCACAGTCCGCCAGTCAGCTGGCCCTGAGACTGAAATTCTTTGGGATTTTGTTTGTACTTTAATAATGTATCAATTTTATATTGGAGGGTTGCAGGGATTTTAAAGGACTTCTTGATACGGTGCTGTCAATGAAGCGGTGTTTCTATTAGATATAAAGCTCATGGTGATAACAGCTCATTAAACTAATTAAATTAACAATTAAGTACTAATGACAATAATTATCCAGCATTTCAGCTCGCTAAAATGAACAGTTGTGTGCTGAAGAGCACGGAGCACAAAAGGGAGCAGGCACAAACACGGCAGCGCCCGCAGGCTCTCGGCTCAGGCAGAGGGGCGGGGTCAGGATGTCTTGTGCTGCTCCGTGGTCTGCGGCAGGCAGCCTCTCGATCTGACTCCCGGGATACCCTGGAGACGGAGAGCCAGTGGTCCAGCAGAATTCACCGACACGCAGAGCTGGCAGGGGCCAGGGCATGCGGACAGAAACTAAATGCATTGCAGCCAAAAGCGTTTGTGTGAATGCTCTGTTGGGGGACAGTGCGAATCCAGAGGTTCCAGTTGCCTACGGGCAGAGCAGCGTGTCAGGAGTAAGGGCTGTATGAACTGCTGAGGCAGTGAGAGGAGAGGGGTGGAGGTGCCTATGTCACGCCTCAGACACTCCTTCAAGATCCCCTATATCCTAAACCCCAACCCTAACCCTAGCCCTAATCATGACCTTTACTCCGATTAACAGTAACTTCCAGTCTCTTCCTTTCTCATCCACTGGCTTCCTGCCACACACCCCCTCATTGTGGACAACGAGGCGACCAGAGGCTCACAGCGGCACACACAGCATGCTGGGTAAAAGGCCCAGGCGCGCAGGTGGGACAAGAGAGCCTGAGGAAGGAGGAAGGGGAAGCTCCCGGGGACAGCGACAGAGCAGGCTGCAGAAAAAGAGAACAAGCAGCAGGAAACAGAGACAGATCGCAGAAAACAGAAAGGACAGAAAACAGGCAGATTATGATGTCGCTGTGTGTCTCGGCGTCTGCGCGTCTGTCTCTTTCTGAGCACATGCGATTGTGGATTGTGGGTGTGTTTGTGTTTCTGCGTGTGTGTCTGTTTATCGCCGCATGTGTGTTGCCTTGCCGATTGCGTGTGTGTGTTTAGTGTGTGTGCCTGTGCGTGTCTGTGTTGCGAGTGTGTGCCGGAGTAGAGCCCTAGCCGGAGGAGGGGTTGTCATGGCGACAGTGAGACCTGTGAGAGGAGCCAGTTGGATGGTGAGTGATGCTCGGCTGGGTGGGAGGAGGTGGGAGAGAGAGGGAGCGAGGGGGGGGGCGAGAGAGCTGAGAAAGAGGGAGCGAGGGGGGGGGCGAGAGAGCTGAGAAAGAGGGAGCGAGGGAGGAACAGAAAAGGGGATTGGGAGAGAGACAGCGAGAATGTGGGGGAGACAGAGAGAGGGATGCTGAAAGAGGGAGAGGGAGCAAGGGGAAGAGAATGAAGGGGAGAACGAGGAAGAGGGAGCGAAGGGGAGCCTGGTTTGGCTCAAGAGAGAAGCTGCCTGCAGCAGCGATCTGTGTATAAGACACTCTCCTTCTCCCTCTGCTCAAGGAGGGTGTCTGAAGTGTGTGCGCTGCATGTGAGTCAGGCTGGCCTTGAAGCTTACACACACTGCAAAACTGCATGTGTGTGCGGCCGTACCGAGAGAGAGCAGCTGAACAGCTCACGCAGCAGGTACAGCAAGGCAACCTGGGTCCTGCACAGTGTGAATAGCCCAGGGCAGTAGCGGTCTGTATAGTGTGTACAGACCAGGGCAGTA